TTGGATACAAACATTTTTGCTTTCTTTTATTTTGAAGCAAAATATAATACAAATAACAATGTACACTTATTTTAAAAAATAGTATTAAAAATATAGACCAAGTAAAGGATGTAGGAACAAAATTTTCATAGTTTCAAAAAAGTGTAATAGATATGACAGAGAGATTTAAAATCAAGTTCAAAATATTATGTTATGCTGAGTATTTAGATTAAGTTAATTATTCTTACATTACATTAGCTTAATGCCGCTAAAACTGTACAAATATTTCTCACAAAAACAGGTGGTAGTTAAAATGTCGGTGGTATAATTCAATGACATGTGTTAGGACATTCGGAAACATAAAACCTATAATTTTTCATAAATGCTTGGCTAAGAAGTTTCTTATTAGATTTGTGTAGCCACTCATCTGATCCATCACAACAATCACAAATCCCATCATTTATTTTGCTTGATGGCACAGTATGCAGTGTAACAGGTTTCTTTTTAAACTGATATTGACAATAAAAGGTTCCATTTGGACATGCATTAGTGCTTGGTTCATCTGTTCCGTCTTCACAATCACAATAATCATCATTTACTTGTTCAAACGGTATTCGTGTTTTCGATATTCTGCATTCAAATTCATTTTTATGATCAGGTCTGTATAGCTGCATGTGTAAGTAATAAACTCCTCGAATGAGACCATTTTCATTTATATATTTGTCATCTTCAGATCGTACGTGTACGACATCCTTTATTTTCTGATGATCTAAAACTGGAATGATTCTGTTCCCGTTACTTGTCTCCGATGTGATTGTTAAAAAGAAGTACAACTGATATAAAATAAAAGAAAATACGACACACAAAGATACTATGATAACGTTTTTCTTCTTTTTGTAGCCCATTATCGTTAAATGATACAGATAATTCGAGTTTTTAGTTGTATAATATTTATAACATTACAGTTCATTTTATAAACACAGTGCATGAAAAGTGCATTCGTTACATTTAATCTGAAATATCTAATTAAATAAACGAAAACGAAATAAACCGATTGCAATATTTTTGTATTGTGTCAATGTCAGTGTCAGCAACTTGTCAACTAAATCAACCAATGACATTTAGTCACGTGACTTATCACAGAAAGCATAATTTACGTTTTCTCGCTAGGATTAGGTTTTAAAACACGTTTACACACATAATTCAAGAGGGATTTCTCTATTTTAGATTTATTTCAAGATCATACATCCAAATTCACCAGCTCTTCGGCTTCAAAATTAGAAAAAAAATTAACAACTCTTTCAACGTGTTTATCAAGTGTTTATGATCAATATTGACATTACTTATCTAGGTTGTCAAAGTCAAATTGTCAAATTTTTTGTCCTTTCCTATGTACCTATAGCTTAATAATAACATTTTAAGGCACCATAATAATAATTTAGTTGTTTATCAAACGTTATTTTCCAATGTAGGTCATATTTAAGTTATACAATATGAATTCCCTTTCAAGGGATTTGGCATCCTGTTCGTCAAACTCCGCGAAAAGCGATGAAAATATAAACAATAATGATGATCTGGAGGTACCTCTATATGTAACATTTAGTACACTTATAAATCAAAAATGAAATTAAAAAAATGTAATTCATCATTTAAGTTTTTTATTTTCCTATAAATACACTCTTTCTATGTATGTAAACATTGTAATGGTTTCTAGGTAGATAATTCAAGATGTGTTCTCCTCAAGATAGCCACATTGTATGCAGAACAATTGATGAGTGATCTGATCCTTGATGTTGATGGAGTGGCATATCCAGTGCACAGACTTATTCTGTGTGCGAGCAGTGAAGTGTTTCAGGTATAGTCCATTTCTAATAAGAATGTTACATCACAATACAGTTGGATGTGGATAAGCAAGAAACCTCTATAAGACAGAGTCATTGTCTGGTCCTTATGAACGAGATTCTCTGGGTATGAGAGAAACTTTTATACAGGACAAACTTGCTTATCCAGGTTCAACAGTGTTTTGTTTATATGTTTATCTTTCTTTAATTAAGTTTGTATTTCCTCTCATTCTCTTTGCAAATACAGATATAACAATATGCGTCAATATTAAATAACAATAGACAAAGGGTCACTACAGTGAAGCCCCTCTCTTACTCGCTCAGATATCCTTGTTTGATTATAACTTTGTACATTTGTTCTTCTGATTAGGTTATGCTGATGAATAGAGAATGGAGCGAGTGTAAAAAGACACGCATCGTTCTGCAGGAGAATCCAGTTGCTGCATCTGTCTTCCCACAGTTTCTTAAGTATGTTAATTACTTTGATGGATAATTTATTTAATTTTTTTTCACAAAGGGTAATAAGCAGGGAGTAACTCCAAGGTTTTACCATTAAAATATTTATGTAAACAGATTGTAAAGCCTTTTGTTCTCTTTGATAAAACAAAGATAGTAAAATGTTACATCAATTACTGAATTAAAACGGTGTTTAGATTTTTTAAATGCATTTTAATTTTTAGGTATTTCTACACTGGTCAAATTAAAATATCACATAAAACAGTTCTTCCAGTACTTTCTCTTGCTGATAAATATAATGTTTCGGTAAGTAAAATAATAACAAATGCAACTATTTTCTTTGAATGGGCCATTATATGGTTTGCTAGTTTTGGAATAACCTTTTAATTTTATATTTTTTTTTATTTATGAACATAATTAATTCGTAATATCTTCAGGATCTGATGACATTATGCTTGGAGTATATGGGCCAGCATGTGGCCCAGGCGGCGCAGCGCGGTCAGCTAATTGCCTGGATGCAGTACACCATGGCTTGTGGACATAATAAAGTTGCCAAAGTAAGTCTACAAAGATATAAGCTACACAATCATATTTCAAAAACACTGGTCGGCAAGAAAATCTTCTTTTGAGAATTTAAAAAAGAAAATAGTTTTCTTTTTTAAATTTTTGAACATATTTTTCGTACTATCATAATTGTTTGTGGATTTAGTAAGTAATAGAATAAATAAGAATATTTATAACTATATTAAGTTTACGTCTCTTGAGTGTGGTAGCATAATAATTAGTTGTAAATTTGGATGTTGTATTTGTGTATGTAGGCATGTCAGAACTTCTTCAAGTGGAACCTGGAGTGGAGCTGGCTTGACAGCGATCTGGATGAGCTGGAAGGGGAGACACTAGCGCAGCTCCTGCAGCAGAACGACCTCGTCGTACACAACGAGATGAGTGTATATAAGTCAGTACATTGTTTTTTTGGACATATTAATATAATAAAATAAGTGTAATAATTGCACTAAAAACAAAAAACAAAAAAACATGAGATACTGACAATATTAATTTAAAATGTATTTTAAATACAATTGCTGACCTAAAAACCATAAACATATCCTATAACCAGTTTTAAGAGAGTCTATGTGACCTGTGGCCTCACATATTTCTACCCAGGAATGTTATAAGTACAGTCAGCTCCCTAATTAATGAAGTGTTGTCCTCAGGTTTGTGGAACGTTGGCTGAATCGTCAGCGAGAGTCGTGCAACATGCCAGAAGGTGTGGAGCGCACGCCCAGTGACTGCACCACCAACACCAGTGACAGCAGCGGCTACTCCGAAAGCAGGATGCAATGGGACGCACTGGTCGCGGCCGCTTTCTCACATGTCAGGTAATTTATAAAACTTTGTATGAAGAATTACTCTTCTGATGGTTCTTCTGCAGTTATATGACAAGTTGTGTCTGAGTGATTATTCTGTTTCCTCATGGCAGGTTCGAATGTGTCTATTTGATTTGTTATGTGGATATGTGATAGGTTTCCAATGATGTGCCCCAACCAGCTGGCGACTCTGCTGCTGTCACCGCTGACCCAGCAGCACAAGGACTTCTTCATGGAGCGCATGGCTGTCGCCATGAGCTACCAGTCAGGTCAGTGCATATTCTGTTACAAGTCAATAATTACAATTGGAAAATTTAAATGTGCATATTGATGTTCCCGACAGTTATTCTACCTTTATTGAATCCTCATCACTACTGCCAATAGCAACCGTCAGTTACAATATGGCGAAGATCAAATAGGCACAAAATAGTTCGATTTTAGCCTGTCCATATGTGTGGTTTGTGCGTAGGTCAGTACGAGCGCGTGTGGGAGGTGCAGCAGACGGCGGGCGGGCGCGCGCTGTTCACGCCGCGGCTCTACACGGAGGACATGTGGGGCTCCGTGCTGGCAGTAGACAACTTCCACTCCCTGCCCTGCTACCACATGCGCACCTTCATCTTCTCCACACGACCAGCTGTGGCTGACGTCGCCTACACCGACCGCATGATGGAGTGGACCGTGGAACTCTACCCCAAGGGTGTCTGGTTCAGGAAGAGCATGCTAATCGCTTGGTCCGGCACTTATGATGTCAGTTTTGTTAAGTACAGTCAACTGCATAAATATGTATATATTTACAAAGCTTCAGAAATGTATATGCCTTCGGTTCCAAAAACATGTATGCTATGGCGTTTACAAATTTCTGAAGTTAATAAATGTTCACATATTTATGCAGCTGACTGTACATTGAAATAAAGCTTTATTATACTAGAGACTATATAAGAATGTGCTCGTTAGGTGCCGGAAGCGGTGCTCCGCACTGTGCGTATCGCCATCACCTGCCTCAGCGTCACCGCACCAGACACGTACCTACCCGAGCCCGACGTCAGGGTCAAGGTACTCATAAACATATAATTTATACTTAAACACTCCATATCTCTTACTATATCCACAATTGTGTTGATATGTTTTATAGATTGGTATCCTTGTATGGGGCCGACAGAACGGTGTGGCGCATATCTCCGACGTGGCGGTGCGCGTACATCGCTTCTCCGCACAGAACAGGTAATGTACGACTCGAAGGACCAAAAATTATATGTCATAGATAAATAAACTAACAAATAAAGCTTATTTCTGTAGAGTGCTGAACATCGATGATGCACTAGACTTTGACGAGCTGAACACACCGCTGTACACGCCCGCGCAGCCCGCCTCGCCCGGTAACAAGCAAGGGTCAGTATACTTCAGGTTAAATATTATATTTACCTATAACTACACTCCTCTTCGTCGTAAATTCAAGTTAAATAGTCTATGACCATCCTTAATAATTATGCTATTAAATGAATTATTATTTTTTCAAATCTGTTTAGTAGTTTATGAGATTATAGTGTAAAAACTTTTTAATTTATTATTGTATAGGCGGTGTCCGAAGTGCGTGGAGAGCAACACTAGCACTGAACCCTCACATCTCATGGGGCCAAACAAGGACCAGCTCAGGGTGAGTACATCAACTCTTGGAGTAATCTCCCAAAAGTAATCTTCATACGTCACACTCTGAAATAAAAATAAATTTGTCTATGTTTTAAGAAAGTTTATAATAATGTTTAGTCAGACTTAAATGTAGTAACATTTTGATACTATAATATTGCCATTTCTGTTTTTTTTTTAATAAATTTTCACTTTTTGTTGTAATGTTTTGTCTTATCTCTTAAAAAATCAAATTATTTTAGTTTCTGTTTGACATTTTTTTCAGGTACAAGTAGTAATCTTGCCACTAACGGATTACTGCTACGTGAGCCCCGCAGAGGTCGCGGTGGGCTCCGACCGACTTGGACCCTGAAGAGAGGCAATAACACCACACGCGGACCTTTATCGTCCTGTATCACGTGTACAAATTACTTTTGACCCTAAAAATACATTTTTAAATCATCAACTTATTCTAGTTAATTTTTGGAAACAAAATTATTTTAATTGGGGTCAATTTTTGTCAACTTAACACGATCCGTGCCACGAATACGTATGGAAGAGTACTTTCCAGGCGAGCTAGTGGCAATGGCTGTTAATCTTTTACTGACCAAGCATTCAGTTGGTCAATTTTACCATTTTCAAGTTCGTAATATTTCATCGTAGAAATCAATCGCAGCATGGAACTATAATCTATTTTATTTCGCTATTATCGCAGCTTTTAGTGTATTAAAATCTACATATTATGTATATTGTATGCAATATGTAAAAATTATAAATATTGTCAATGTTTCAATAATCCAATGTCTAGTCCGATTATAAAATGACGAAATTTACAATGCTTCAACGACATTTTATTCAAAGTCGAATACACTTAACTTTTTGTTGCCTTTAAAATGCAAGTTAAAAATAATGTTTTAAAGATCCCAAGCAGTTTACAATTTATCTAATTTCTTTAACATGTTTCATCCCATTTCGATCTTTTGTGACGAACTTGCCAGGCGAGTGGTAGTGAATGTGTTAAAACAATTATTCACAATAATGGCTTATCGGGACATGGCAATCCTGTCGCATTGTGACCTCAAAGTGAGAAAAAGCGCAATCTTCCTTTGTGTTCCCACTACCGAAACACGTGTATAAAACATTTTGTTGTATGTTTATTTAAAGGAAAGACAAAAGTGGGGACATTCAGTTCACAATGTTTGTTGTTAAATTTGTTGTCGTGTTAGAACATTGTATTTGTATTATTAAAAATAATTAATCTAATAGTGGTTTTATTTATTTTTTAAATAAAAATATTCATTCTAATAAAATTTATTATGAAATTAAATTTAAATTAGGCTCGTAACGTCATTTGCATACAAAATTACAGTTTTATATGATCGGAGGAACACAACGATAAACAATTATTACGTAAAATAAAATTTTAATAACAATTTTGTTTACAACCCAAAAAGGGAACAAAAACATAGTGCAAAAGTCTTTGCTGATCTTCCACAAACATTACACAACAAAAATAAAAACTCGAGACATAAACTTTAGTTCTAGAGCGAGATGGATATATAAATAGGCATATGTATCCGTCTCGCTCACTCCGATGACATTTGCAGCTAACTTCACAAAATCCGCCATTTTAAATGCAATTGACGTCACACAGCTTTACATACAGATTGTCTTTTCTAAATTTACAAAAGCGGATCACATAGAAGCAATTTTTTCTTACAAGTATAGGAAAATGCATTGAAAGCACAGCAAAGCGGCAGTTTTAATATTTAAGTACTTATATTCTAAGGAAAAAAATAAACTTACAAAAGTAAAAAAAAATTAAGTACTATAATGGAATATTTTTTTATAAAGTTTTGCATATTTTTGTATACTTTAAAATCTCTTTATGTTGGTAGGATTGATTTTGGTCTTTAGATGTTTTTTTTTTGCCAGTAAGTAAATGGTATTCTCCCTAAGAATTTACCTGTTATTTTATCGCCGACCATTTTAATGTAAATTATTGTTATTGTCTGAAACACTTTAGAGTATTTTAGTGTCTTAAAAGAAATTCATCCAAAAATATGTTGAGCAAAATTGGATTTCTCACTTGTTATCACAGAATATGCCGAAAAATATTGTTTTTTTTGTGATTATAATAATTTCGATAATAATGAAGCTCTGCGTTGTCCCGCTCACCCCGCGGGGTGGCTGCTCCTAGGGGTAACCACTGCACATCCCTGATGGGAACATTTGCTGAGGGGGGGAGGCGCGTCATACCAGGAACTCCTTCGGGAACAGGTTCATTGAAGCGTAGTCTTCCAGTACCTGTGAAAAGAAACAAACGGTGTTGAGGTTAGTGTAATTCTGAACAGCAGAAAATTACTATGTTAACTTATTCGATTATTATTAGTAGATACTAGGTAGCTATAGCCCGTGACTCCGTACGCGCGAAATTAAAAAATAATAATTAGTAGCCTGTGTTCTTCTACATTAATGCCATATTTCTGTGAGATCCGTTTAGCCGTTCTTAAGATACCTACTAACAAACATCCATCCATCCATCCATTAACAAATTCGCATTTAAAATATTACTAAGATATGTGTCCAACTACTAACATAACTATGGTTTTAGCAGGTTTTTTTATTTGTGTGATGACTTCATACAGAGTATAAAATAGTTATGTCGTGACCTGTGTGAGTGCGGCTGCAGTGGGCGCGGCATGTCGGGGAGGCAGCAGTGCGGCGAGGCGGGTGCCGGCGAGACAGAGCTGTCGGTTGAGCAGCAGCTCTGCGCCGGCTGCGGGATCCAGCGGCGTGTGCGGGATCTCATGCCGCCGGCAGATGTCCGCCCACGCGCTCAGGTGTGTGTCATTCGCCTGCTCGACTACCGCACTTATGTCACTCTGTCAACACAAACAACACTAGTAAACATAAAGCGACAACTCAAAGATATAGACCGACAACGTTATCTGACCCGTTGGGCATAAACTAAATATTGACAGCTCACTAGCGCCTCTCAATCAATGTCAAAAAATGTCATAATATCCTCTTTGTATTGTAGCTGTCATTTTCTAAGTCTAAGTACAATTTATTATATTCTGATAGAACCAAACAAAATAGCAGCTCTATTCACCTCGTTTCTGATATCCTTGTTTGACTATACATAACCTCATTTCAAAATAGTATGGTCACTTGTAAACTTAAAAAACGATCAACAAAGTATCCTCACTACATACGAGTAAAAAACCTAAAAAAAAATCTTTCAAGCACATAATAGAGCAGAAGACAACATTTTAGACGAATCTCTATATGGAGTAATTGTATACAATTCTAGCTACATACCTTAGCGAGTGTGGATATCGCCGTGCCGTAGTAATCATGTTTGATCTTGAATATCTCTGAGACGAGTTTAGCAAGGCTGCCCTGTGTGCTGTCCGCCTCGTCCACCACATTGTACACCTGACCCTGGGCCTCCGGAGTTCGGGCCAGGGTCCACGCGGCTCGGCATACGTCCTCTACATGCACAGTGTTCATCTTCAGGTCCGCCGTCCAGAGGAGCTTCATCGTCTGACCGAGGTGTTTGTAGATAGCACCAATCAGTAATCTGGGTGCTGAGAACAAAGTTTTTTTGTTAGAAAAAGAGTTATTTAACATTGAAATATAGCGTTATAAATAGTTCTCGTTGACCTTAGACAACAATTGAAAGGTTATAATATGTTAAAAGTTAAGGTAGTATTAGTCATCCAGTAAGGACAATAATCAACACCAAAAAGACTTAATGTAGGTTCTCAAGATCAAAATCTACAAATTTACAAGATATTGTTATCTCTACTTTGAAAAATATACAGGGATGATAATATGTTTTATACAGAGATTTAGGTCTCAAAAACCCACGGTTAGCCATACTGATGCTCCCGATCATACATTCAGCAATTGTTATATAAGTGGCTTACTCAAGCTCCTCCTATCTCCGATGCCGTAGACGATGGCGGGACGCAGCACGGTGTAGCTGAGCTCTGGCTCCAGACTCCGCAGCTCCTGCTCCACCTTGCTCTTCATGCGGCCTTCCACCGTCCATGGCTCTATGGGACAATCCTCCTTTTGTGGCTGCAATAGAATATACATTGCTTTGTACAAATAAATTCCTTCAAGGCTGGCAATGTATCTTAGTACTCCTAGTTTTATGATATTTTAAGTTCATACAAAAAAACCTATAAGATTTAAACTAATTAAAACTATACCGTTTTACCCAAACCTAAAGAAGCCATAATACATTAACCTGAGACTAAACTTGCCTAAAATTAGTTACTTCCTTGGCTTCGAAAATTCGATTAGGTATCCGAAACCATAGATTAACTTAGTAAAAACGTATAAAAACATTTATTTTTATTTACACAGAGTAGCGTAGTAAAACCAAAGTAACAATGTAATGGTTTGAACAAAACTAACCTTATCACTACTATACATATGCCCGCTGGAGATCTCAACCAGTCTGCCGACCTTCATCTTGGCGCATTGTCGGGCCACATTGCAGCTCAACGTAAAGATACCCTCTGAGTAGACCGCCTCTGTCTGCCCCATGCGCGTCTCTCCCGCGCAGTTCACCACCACATCCCAGGGCTCGCCATCCGTGTGAAGAGCTGTCGCGCATGATGCTGGGGAGAAGACACATTTGGTAATGAATTAGTTCCATCTAAGAGGCTAAACAAACTACAAGATGGAATGGAACATATAATTGAAGGAAGAATGAAAAAAAAGCGCTGAAAGAAAAAAAAATTGTAAAAAAGTTAAAACCTGATTTAATGTTTTTTTTTACTTCTGTCACTTCAATCCACAAAGTGCAGTGACGTCATAATTTTTTTTTCTCGACAGGTTAGTTAAGAACAATAGAGCACTCCCCTCACCCTACACAAAGGGCTGTGCGATGTCAGGCCAGCACTTGATAGAATGGCTCTTTGTTTAGATTGTGCGAACTAAAACTCAGATACTATGATACTATACTTCAGTCTTAAATACATAATTCGAAGTTTTATTTTGTTAGGATACAATATTGAAATTTACATAGGTTGCCATTGTTGAAACATCTGTTTAAAACATGCAGTCTTTATTTATTTTAACTTTTTTTTTATATCATATGGTGGCAAACGAGCGAGCGGCCACCTGAAATCGCTGATGTAGCGAAGTGACCGTTGTCCATAGACATACGAAATTGCATATGCGTTGCCTACCTTTAATCGACGGAGGAGAGGATGCACAGAAAGAAAATTTATTCCCTTTCCATGGATCCTCTCATCCAGAAAGTCCACTTCCACTTCCTGTCCTTTCCTTATAAGAAAAAAGGTGGGAAGGGAAAGAGGACGATGTTAGGCCTACGGGATGCACACTCATCAGACGAAACATGGATTTGCTTCCACTTCACGCCTGTCTTGTGTGGTCGTGGTATTTTACCGGGCGAGCCGGGCCAATTCGTGCGAAGATGTTAAAGCAGGATCTACCACTCTTAAAATTAAACTAAACTTGACTAGAATAATATTGATAATATTACCTACAATAAACAAAATTAAACAATCATAGTTAAAATTTATATATCTTTTATATATGTTATAACAAACATAGAGACAACCTATGAATTATAGAACAAACAGACAATAAAGCTTTGTAATTAAATGAAGGATATGAATCAACAAGTATTGGAGACTAATTAGTATGCACCGGAGGTAACTTCACACAATGGTCCAACTCCCACAAGATATGCATCATAAGAACTCTAATATTATTTATTAATGTGTGAATTATTTGTGTTTAAAACATGCGCACATAAACACAATACATACTAAATATTAAAAAAATATTGTTAATTCTTATTAGCTTAAATCGTTAATTGAGAGATATGTCTAGTATCTATACAATATCAAATAAATAGAATATAAAAGGCTAATTCTACTTCATTTTGGATAAATATTGCAAAATAAATTCCAGCTTGATACCTTCACGCGTTTTTGAGAAAAAGGGTCTTGACAGATGGACGGACAACAAAGTGATCCTATAAGGGTTCCGTTTTTCCTATGAGGTACGGAACCCTAAAAAAGATTATTACCTTATATTTAGCACTAATATGAAATTAGCAACCTCACGTTAATGTCTTAAATAATAATGCTAACAAAAAACCATATCTTGTTGCTTTCCTGGTATACACACAATAACAGGAAAATAAATCATTATTTAAGACACAATTTATTAAACTCCACCACATGTGGTCAAGTCACGTCCTTACAGTTTGTGATATGAAGTAACTCAAGGATATTAAGCTATCAATATTTACACAGCAAACAACTATGATAAGTTTTATCTCTTTTTTTATATGCACCAGTAATCATTGTTGATAAGAACATCCATCATTACATCCTAGACGGATATAGCTCTAAAAAACTTTAAAACTGTGAATGGTTATTTATCTGGAATAATAATCAAAATATAACATGTTATGAATGATGTTAGTACATAATGTTTAGAACTTGTCTTTGTTCAAGTGTGATGTGTATAGAGAAAGACTAGTAGTAAATTTTATATTACCTATATCTTTAGAATTCCTTACTCTATATATTATTCTCTTCTACTTAGAAAGTTTCTTACTAGAAAATAACAAAAGAATAGTGTGAAATATGAAATAGTGCTGTATTGCTATATTATATTTATTACTATATTAAAAAATTGTTGAACTATGAACATACATACATAAAGAAAGTGTTTTGTGTTGAGCGATACCCTTTTTCCATAAACAAGCAATTTTATAAAATAATTATAAAATAACAAAACAATTGAGGATTATAGTACAGATAATTAATTGCATTTGTCAGTCTTCCAATCGGAGACGGAAGTCACGCGATGAAAGCATTGGTTAGCGCGTGTTACATTATACTTGTATTAAACCGCACTTATCACATTAATGTAATGCCTCATTAATTTTATTAATCAACTTTTTTTATTCGTCTGGCAACATTTCCGTCTCAGACAGCTGTTATCGTAAAAGAAGCTCAGACAAAACAAATTGGTATAATTAAATGAAATTTCACAGTATAACTTGTATGAGCTAAGTTATTTGAAGTTGTAAGATTCACATAATTTCTAACACCAATGAAATTGTACATTAAAACACAACTTTAAATATTGTAATTAAAATAAAACACACTACATAATAAAGATATAAGTAAGCATTAGAATGTATAAATAGTGGTTGTCTCCTGTAAATACATATGAGGATATGAATCACATGTGATAGCTTATCTTGAGTCAATGACATGAGAATGTATATATAACAATACATAACTAAAATATATACATTAGTCACAAGTTAACTTTTGATGTTTAACTTTTTTTATACTATAAAGAGGCAAATGAGCAAGCAGCCTTATTTTGCCAACAAGAAATGACACCTGCCAATAGACAACCCAATTTGCAGACGCATTGCCTATCTTTGATCAACAGTGGTGACATTCAGGATTAAAATTAGGCCTGCTTAACAGACCCTAATTAGTCAAAACGTAGGATTTTTTCCGCATCACCTATGTCCTTTGTGTGATCATGGTATTTGCAGGTAATCCAGCCTGTGCATGTTGATTTTAGTAAAGAAGTATTCCAAGCGTTCTTATGTACAGTTTTAAATGTAAAAAATCTATAATTTTCTAATTATACTGAATCATTAAAGGTAAAAAAAAATTGATTTGTGATTATTAATTCTTTTACTAAAAACGTGTAACAGCTAAAACACATGTATGTTGCAAGAATGTGTCCTTTATTGTAAAATATTTCTTGTTATTATATAATTTGCTCAGTTCAACTTCATCAGTTTCCCTGTATTATCTTGTTTATAGTGAATATAGTTTATGATGTTTCCAATACAAATTGCTGTTCACAGGAAATAGTTGTAAAAACTAACAAACAACAACAGTAACTAAGTTTAAAGTTATATGATATACAAAGTTTTATTAAAAAAAATATATTGCTTAAATATGAATGTTGCAGTTTGGACCATTTATATTGTCTTTCATGTAATTATTACTTACTTGGATTGATTAAATTTGCACTCTTGTATTCAACGCGGGGGTCCTCGAAGATTTTAGTGTGTGTCGGATTGAGGAAGGCCAGTTGTGGAGGTGTTTTGTCCACCACTCGCAACTCACTCACTAAATCGTTGCTTATTAAGTATTCAACCAGATTCCGCCCGATGAAGCCGCACCCTGTAGCAAATCGCGAGATCAGACTAAGAAAAAACACTTAGGTCACCGATGACTAACACTTTCGAAAGACCGTTATTAGGTTTGAAAAAAAAATGTACAACATGAAATAAAACATTTAATTATACATGTAACACTTTATCATGATCGTTTGCGATTTCTTAAAACACAAATCCAATAAGATTACCTCCTAAAACTACAGCTCGGGGCTTTATTTCACCGGTAGATTCGGACATTTCGGTAGCGGTTTTACAAATGTAAATGACAACTTGACATTTATCCTGACATTGAGATGACAGCAGACAGTTTCTGAGTTGCCATATGAAACTTTTCAGCATTTTATATACTCTTTATTTTATATACTCTATATTTTATATACTCTTTGCTTTTCAGCACTTTTCAGTGACAAATTTCGGAGTTTTTTTTACAGAGAACATTGATAGAGAAATGGCACGAAAGAATTTTGCTACAATTTAGTTTCATCATTATTAAAAGAAAACACACGAGGAATTACTATTTAGTTCGTTTATTAAATTCACTTTAAATAATACTGCTATAATATAAAAAAGAAAATAACACACTTCAGTCTTGCAGTAATTGAAATTGAAACAAAATCGTCTTTAGATACTTTTAGAAAATTAGCACCGTGTTTTTGTAGTGTCGTTCGATTTCGTTACATGATTAGCAGGGTCCACTTTATTTGTTGCATCTGCTGGAAGCGAGAAAGTTACTGCTAATCCAGCTGAAAGCGGAATTATTTATTTAATATCAACCATACAATGTTTAAAAGATTTTAAAAAGTAAAGCAATCTTACACATAACTAAAACGACATATCCACTTATCATGGGCGTACAGTGATCGGAAAGTAGCGATGCAATTAATTGTACACTTATAAAGCCGAATCCTCTTGCTACTACTACAGACAAACACGTAGCCATTCCCCTAAAAGAAATATACGTATGTTAATCACAGAAAGAACGATTTTATAACTTGCATTATTGGATGGATCTTAATTCCTTTGACAAGAGTGTAATAGTATGGTGTTAGTGCTTCTTTGACCCGAATTCAAAAGCCCAATAATTTAAAATGCCATTTTAGCTAAATAATATTTACAGAACTTAATGTTTGATATGTTATCTCACACTTACCGTAAGTAAGTGGGATTCAATTCCACCAAGTAAGTATTGACTGTACCCAAAATTAAGGAAACATAATTGAAAAAATAAAATAGGGCAATACTAAGTAGCGGAAGTGTCACGAAAATGAGCGCCAAACCGCTGAGTACAGATACAATGAATATGAGTATTGTTATTTTCTTTTTTCCAACGCTGCCAACTACGAATGAAAGTATAATATTGAGGCTGCCTGATACAGCAGAGTAACAAGCCACTGCGTACAAGGTTAGTGGCTGAACGGCACTGTTGCAGTTTGTTGACACCTAAAAAAAAATACGATTCTGAATTTCTGTTTGTTGTTGATGTTATTTACTGCTTTTGAACTACGTTTATGCTGTAATAATAAAGTAACATCCTGTTTTGTTTTATTACATTCTATTGTGGTTATTTGACATAAATCACGTTTTCGTGTTCAGGGATAATGTAATAGTGTCCTTGCACAATGTATTTGCATATTCATGAACTTACGTTAATCTGAATTATATAAATATTCTCGCCTTACCACACTTATAGCCTTTGTTTAGTCTATCCCTTAGTGTACAATTTTCTTACTAAAACTAAACTAAGGCACTACTTATTGATTCAGAAATAGTTAAACTCGATTCAATTAATTTTGATATAAGTACCGTAACGTTAGAAGTGGAAGTGCTGGCGACATCACAGAACGTTTTGCCAGAGTTGTCCTCACCGTTGAAGTATGCATTAGTCATTGTAGGAACCCACATAGTGTATCCTGTTGACCTGTACATAGAAAAAGAAATTCAAAATAGTAGATTATGAGAAATAAGAGAAGACAGATAACTTCTAAGATAACTTCTCTACACAATAATGTACTTACGTCATATAAGCACTCAATAGCAAATAGTAGAGTTTCAAAGAATTCTTCAACAGCGGAGGTTTGAATAGAGGCGCTGTTTGATTCCACATTTTACGCACGAACGATACGTCAGAAGCAATGTTGACTGTCGCCTCTTCTAGAAATATTTGTGTAACCTGTTCATACAATTAAATTGAACCAAAAATGATGATACAAATAAAAAGTTACGAAAGAGAATACTTATTTTAACAAAAACAAATGAAAAAAGGGTTTTGTCAGACAGACGGACGGACAGTAAAGCGATCCGGAACGAGTTCCGTTTTTTCTTTCGAGGTACGGAACCCTAAAAATGACCGAAACTTAGTAAAAATACATAAATATGCCTAGAAAACTGTAGTATATACTTACATAGTAATCGTTCTTTCCAATCGTGTTATAGGAATACATTTTCTTCAGTCCATTAACAGCGTCATCCTCTTTGCCTGAACTGAGCAGGAACTTGGGACTTTCGTGTAAGAAGACCATACCAATCACGCCGAGGATACCGGGCAGACTGATGATCAGCATCAGCAGTCGCCAAGGTCGGTAGTTCAGGCTCAGCAATGGGACGTATACGTCAAACGAGAGCTTGAAAACTGGTATTGCTACTACTGTTTAAAGGAATACAGACACATATGATCATATTACGTTTATCTATTATAGAAATAGAACTTTTAACTTTATGTATTAAAAAAAAACGAATGATCTTGTAGTCTTTCTAGTTTAAATTTGGAATACAATAGGATTTGGAAGGGTATCTTCTTTAGTGTCTTTGTGTTTGTTCTTCACGACAAATGTAAGTATGTAATCGGCTAGTATTTGGACCATAATTGGCATTGAATCAAGAACAATTTAGTAAGTTCTCACAGCATATGACGAGCTGGACGTACATGGTCGCACTGGCCATGAGGAAGAGAAAGCGGCTGCGATGTCGCGTAGGCGTTGTTTCCCCCAGCAGCACAAACGCAGCAGCGTTAGCTGACGAAGTGCTGTACATTTATTAAACTATAACTTTAGTATGAATGTAATTGGAGAAATTCGTTCCTTAAAATTCAATCCAGTACAAGCAAAATAAACATACAAGCCTGCTGACAGAAACTTGAGTACTGCCAAAGAGGCGTAAGTTGGCGCCACACTGGCAATAAGGTTCATGACAGCGCCTATCGGCATTGCTATGAGGAGGGTCCGACGTCTGCCGAGGGTGTCGGCGCACAGACCCCATGCGTATGAAGACAACATGACTCCTAAGACATAAGAAAGAATAATTAACAATAAATTAATAACCAAGCGAATTATAATCTTACTTAGATGCCCAGATCCTAACTAGATCAAGTTTTCATTTCTGGTTTGGAAGGATTCAAAAGTATACCCAAAGAAAAATTCGTGTATACTAACCAATCAGAGGCACTGCTGACAGTAATCCTTGCTGCGTGATTGTGAGCCGCATGTCGCAGGCGGCCGCTGGCAGCGCCACGGAGAAACCAAAGATGTCCAGGTACATCGCCAGGATGAGTAGATTGCATGAGCACAACATCCAGTAGTTGTATCTTCCAAAACCTTGACAATAACTAACATTTAGTGAAAGACATATTAAATGTTTATTTCGCGCACAATTAAAAAAAAACTTCTTTGTAAAAGATCTTTTTTTTAACGGATCAGATATATTTAATGAGCTTAAAATAAATATAAGAAAAAAAAATACCAGTTGAATTTAAAGCTTCATCGTAGCTACATTTTGCGGTTATACTTTTCATATTTTCATTATTTTCGGCCAGCATTTTTATTAAAAAAACAACTACTGGCAGATATTCGTTACTTTAGAACTCGATCTCAACTAACAAGAGGTTTCTGAATGCAACTATTTTATTACACAATAAAGCCCCTTAAGATGTTGCCAATGAATTGTTATTAAAAGACAAATAATTATGTGTCACATTTTCCCATTTCAATTGTGTTGTTAATTATTCTAACGACTAATGTATTGTCAAGTATCTATAGTCATAGATTAAGCAGGTTATTGATAGAAAATAGAATGGGTAATGTAACTAAAATCATTACAGTTTTGATACTTAATACTTATTTAAGTACTACATTTACCAACACATCGCCCGGCGGGATCGTTGCACTAGTTTATTTATAAGGAAAAAAATGAGGTAACATTGAAGCAAACTGATGAAAAAAACCCTTGGGATTCTAAGGTTTTTGTTTCCAAAGTACTTTTTTTAGTTTCATAAAGATATAATTATCTTAAGCGGTATTTTACATGTTTGGCGTTAAGTAGGCTGGTTGGATCGGTTTATTCATGAGACTGACCTTAACTTCTTCTTTCGCTAAGTAGGTTTTGTTTATAATGCTCTACGTAAGCTATTTATATTTTCAAGTGAAGAGTCGGATATCCCAATATACTCATGTATAATGATAAGGAACATCAAAACTATTCAAGTATTTATTGCGTTTAACAGTGGTATTTACGTATATGTATTTGTCAATTTTGTTTAGGAACCATTTTTAAAGCAAAAAAAATGAGTAACATATTTCGTATTCGATTCGATTTCGTTCGTATTTCATTTCCGATGAAATTTTGAATCTCATACTCGAAAAAATTAAGCGACCTTTTTATCCACATTTTATTTGCTCCGTGGAAGTCAGTAATCTCTTTTCGAAGCTGCTCTCCTGGTAGTTTTCTGTAAAATGGCGGACCTGTCTTCGTTGCTTAGCAACCCCGATGTTGCCTGCGTTACTTAAAAAAATACGAGATAAAAAGATGTTAACTTTTAAATAATGTATTCTTAATACAAACAAATGAGTACATATATCGTTATTTAATCGGTTTTTAATTTTTTATAGTGAGATAAAAATGCTCAACCAAAAACTTTATACTGGGCGGTGCTTTTCGTCAAACATTCGTCAGCTTTTTTTTCTCCTTCGACTTGTTTACGGCAAAAATTTTCACGATGTCTGAATTATCAGGGCAGCATACACACCAAGATGTTGCTAGATTTATTATAATGATACATGAAGAAATGGAGAGGCCAAAGAATATTTTTAACAACTTTCAGTTTTTAATAGTAAAAAGGAGTATAGGTTAGACTAGTTTCTAATATTCACAAAGATGGCTTTATAAGCACTATCCTCACATATTTTTAGTTTTACCGTAGCATATTTTAATCACAAAGTAAATATATATCGATACCGCATCCATTATTGATAACGTTCGCAACTCTAGTTTAGAAAGGGGTGGCGAATCAATATTTTGACGCATGCGTTTTTACTATCATAGCGAAACGCATCTACAACTTTATGCTATCCTGGTATTCCCGCCCACAGTTACGAAAGTTTTCTGCCCTCCATCAGAGCTTTACCAAGTTCCAGGAAAATTACTGGTTACTCTAGTTAGTCACAATGAAGAAGGAAGATGTAGGAGTTATGAAACAAAAACTTTTTATTTAGTTTTTCTGACTTTTTTAACTATTAGCGCCATCTTCTGAGGAAATTTCGAAATTATGTTGAATTTTACGTTCTTCATACGAGCTTTCTGTGGAAAAAAACTCTTCATGATTTTATTATCGTTACACTAGTTTAATTGAATCCCTAACTCTTAAAAATAAAAATAGGAATTCTATTAATACGTAACATATAACATTTATTTACAAAGATTTACTTAATATCTATGAGGTGTCGTCTTTCTTCGGTTGCGTCGTCTGTAAATATTTGTCATTAGGTAAGAATGCTGCTACGATGGCTGATGCTGAAAGTAACAAAATAGATACATTTAATATAACTTTGTAAAATTTAGTTTTAATTTAATTTTATATTAGTGTATTCCCTCCTTAATATGTCTATTCGTATTTAAATTTGGAACATACCACAAATTATCCGACTTCAAAAAGAAGGAGGTTATCAATTCGTCCGTATTTTTTAAGTGTGTTACCGCGTAATTCCGCCCCTGGTGCTCCGATTTTTTTTTAAATATACATACCTGCGAATATAGAGCAGAAGAGATAGAAGCCCGCGTCGCAATTGACCTCAAGCAGCAGGTTGAGGATCTGTACGGAGGCGAAGGTGCCGAGCCTGCCGCCTGTCATCGTAAGTGCTACAGCCAAAGCCCTACGATCAAACATAGATCTCTCAATAACATGCAAAGATATCCATTGAATAACACCTCATTTTCCAAAGTCGAGGAGGTGGAAGTCAGCAGTAGGAGACTTGAAACTGATCAAATCAGATGATAGTATCGTCGTAATATATTTATCCCATTCTATGTGGAATAACAGGTTTTTTTTGTCCAAAACAACATATATATCATTAAAATATAATGTGCAATTAAACTTATTTTAAAGATTTTCAACATCTTCATCAATATAATTCACACTTTAGTCATAGAATGATGATGGGCTCAATATATAAGATATATTTAGTTTATTAAACTGACCTGAGACTGGTGGGGAAGAGTGCAACAGCGATGGCGGTGTAGAGTCCCAGGATGAGGATGCCGAGCATGAAGAAAACGAAGAACGCGACGCTGACATACGCGTTGGGGATGAGGTTGGTAATGATGCCCGCCAGCCCACATGCTACCGCCACCACCATAGCCATGTTGCGACGACCCACACGGTTCACTATCTGCAAAGAACGAGATACGTATGTATATAAATACTGCTTTGTAACCTTCGTGGTTGTAAAACTATCCGTTATCTGTGCTATCCTTGTCTGCTTTGGATCTTCGATTTAAATGAAATGTGGTTTCTGAACGAATTTACTTATTGTAGTCACAAATTTATTACACAACAAGAAGGGTACAGTAATTTCTATTTTCGTTGTTAGTTTAGGACCTTGTATGAAAAATCATGTGATATTTTTGGCTAAAAAATAAATTTACCAAGCTGAGGAGTCCATTTGCAACTGATTGCACCGCACCCACCAGCAGCACCATTAGTAGAGAGGTCACGTTGAGAGAGCACGGAACTACATCTGGCTAGAAACGATAGAAAATTAAATTGACATGGTCTGATAGATATTATACTTATTCGTACATAGCAACTTTGTCAGCAAAACTTTATAGTATTAATAACTGTATTATACTTACATCAGCAGGGATATCTATACTGTTGCTAAGTATAGAGCAGAGACTTTGGTCAGTGCCCTCACCCGTCTCCACGATCTGCACAAACTGGTTGGCGATCGACGGCAGCCATACCGCGAATGCACCCACTCTGTATTCATCATTATCAATCAAGTTAATTGTTTAACATTGCAAAATACCAATTTCGGATGTTTCCAAAAGTGGATACTCACTGTTGGAACACGAAGAGTATCGTCATTATTATGGTATACTTCAATAGAGGCATTTTGAAGAGGGGTATGATCTGTTCTTTTGGCGACAACGGACCCGATGACTGTTGGGCATCGTATATCAGACCTGAGATCTGAAACAAAATCAATTAGGCATTACAGTAGCAGTTTGCAATAGTATTATTGAACGAAGTAGGTTGCCCGATCTCCCTTAAAGTACCAAGCCACCATAAAGTTTGGAAATCACATTAACTGTTAATATGGATAAATAATGTTATTTAAAATTACTTCTTACTTGTAATTCTCCTGCGGATTTTCTATTATTCATTTTATGTATGCTCTTTATGATATCAATAGCTTCCTGTTCCCGTCCCTGAGAGTAAATGTACTTGGGGCTCTCCTTTATCGTGAGCAGCCAGGCCGCAGCTAACAATCCTGGCGCGGAATACACCAGGAGTAGAGTTCGCCAAGAGTTCCAGTATATTCCCAAATTAGGAAGGTAGAAAGAGAAAGACAGAGGTATGATAGGGATGGCGATAACTGAAAAGTAAAGCAATAAATTGAAATTGAATAAATGATAAATATGTAAAAGACAGATTGATTTTATGGGGACATTACCAGATATATAAATTCAAGTATATTGTGTACGTGTTTTTCGGCATTTGAAAATTTAAAAATATAGTTAGTATAAGTAGCACAATTTTCCTGAACAAAACCATACCTGCCATAATCCCTTGAGCCAGCAGGAATATGCTGGTGACGAGTAGTACGATCAGGTTGCGCTTGGCCATCGGCACGCTCTCGCTCACCATCGTCATAGACAACGAGTACTTGCCAGCCGCGCTACGATAAAAAACTTAGTAAGCAATGGTCCGATTAATGTGTTAATACCGTTCAAGTAGTTAAACAAGTTGTAACATGCGATCGTAGACAGAGAGCAAGGTAAACGATCCTTTTACCTAACTATATAACAAAGCAATGGTTGGATGTATGACGCCTTTTTAAATAAAATTGACTTAAAAGTCGGATACGGCAAACGACGGAAAAAATTGTTGATGTATGGTATCATAAGCCAAAGCCGTGCTAAGAAGGATGTCTAGTTTAACTTACCAAAAAGAGGCAATAGTCTGTAGTATCAAAAGCATAATCCAGTCCACCGATATACTGGCCAGAGCGTTGACGGCAGAAGCTGAGAGCAGAGAGACGAACAGCATGCGTCGACGACCAAACTTGTCGCCGAGGTACCCGCCGAAAACACCGCCCAGGATTATACCTTTAGTTTGAAACAACCCCATTATGTTATCAATATGCATGCTGCAAAGAGGTCAAAAAAGTGTTTTAAGTATGTTTAAGCATTTTATACAACTTGCAAATATCAGCAAACAAATTCAACGACATGTGTGAAGTAAACCAACCCGCACAGGGCAACCTCGCTTAGGAAAGGCCCTTCAGTGGGGACCTATAGTGATCTGATGATGATATAGTAGAACTTAAAACACTATATGATTGTGATCTACATACCAACTAAAGGTCCAGCAGCTATGAGACCCTGCTGCGCGTTGGTGGTTTCAAGTTCACAGGCGCTCGCTGGGATGATGATTGTTGTGCCAAACGCTATACATGCATATGCTATGATGATGAACCCAGTCAGTGCCGTCAGGTTATAGTTGTACAGACCGAAACCTGCCAGTGACAAAACGTTGTACTTTAAAAAAATAATAATATACAGTATCTCATAATGGACAACTGTCGTACGCGATTTTTTCCCGCGCAGAAGTAAAAAAAAACCAAGGAGTATTCTTAATCTATAGATCTCTCTGGAGATACCTTTTAATATACTTTAATTCCTCCAAATTTTTGCATTTATAATAGGTATTAGTAAGAAGTAAGTTCGTCATGATAAGATGCCAGTAAAAAACAAAAATAAAATAAAATCAAACTTCTTTACTGTCATCATAAGGAACGGAATACATTATTACAAAATTAATCCCTTTATTTGTTACAAAATAATTTATAATTTATTCCTATTCTATTTATTAGAGAATAATGACATGTCATTGTGACAGTCATCGTGACAGAACATAAACCTAAAATAAATTAAAATGTCTTGATAATGGCAACATTTTTGGGGTCACAGGACATTGAAGTATATTTATTTTACGTACCTGCCAAATCAAGAGCAGTTTCGAATGCCACTTTACCATCATTTTCATTTTTGTTACCGCTAGACATATTTTTACCTTTTTTTCACTGTACAATGCTTTATTTTTTTTAATTTTGGTTATATTTGTTACAAATTTTTAAAACTGTTTTATGATTTTTTTTTCGCATATTTTTTTTCTAACGACTAACTCGCACGCCTCCATTAATTTAATGAACTGAAATATTTGCGATGTTATTTTGTTTATCTACATCGATTAAAGATAATATCGGATGTTGATTAAAGGATTATTCATCGCGTGGTCAAAAGTCGATGTATGCAATAGTACAACTTTCCACTTACAAGGCTAAGAAATCAATGTATGCGTGTTTCCAATTTTTCTTAACTACTGAAAAAATATGAATGAACTATAGTAGTATTTTCTAGCGACGCTGGAGAAGTTATGTTACAAAAATAATCTTACTAATATTTTAAATGCGAATGTTTAGATAGATGGATGGATGTTTGTTTAAAGGTATCACCAGAACGGCTGATCGGATCTCGATGAAATTTGGCATGGATGTAGAACATAGTCTGGAAGAACACATAGGCTATTAAGTTTTTTTTTTAATGACGCGAGACAGTTATTTTTTAAATAAATCTTTTTGCTTTTATTAGAATACTTGAGTTTATTTACTTATGTTTAATACAATGTAAGCTAGGTTTAGCGAGTATTTTAATGTCTATGGACAGTGGTCACTTCGCGAAGGTAGCCGTTTGCTCGTTTGCCACTTTCTAAAATACTATACCAAAGTATAAGGCTGCCAGTCCACCAGAGCGGAGCGAGGCAGCGGAGCCGAGAAACGGACTAATGCGGAGTGGAGTTGCGTACTGTGACTGTCCACCGGAGCGGAGCGAGGCTGCGGAGCGGAGTGAGGAAGTAATGCGGAGCGGAGTTGCTGTGTTTTTCAATATGCGGAGCTAGGCAGCAAGTACGCGACGAGTGATTTCGAGCTCCCGGCGTGGGGCGATTGGTTTAGTTCTACGCGAAATGTCAGTGATAGCAGACATGCCATCGAAAAAGTTGATACATTATTACCTTACATTGCACTCGCTTCCCCGCTCCGCATCCCCGCACGTTTCCCCGCTCCGTTTCCCCGCTCCGCTTACCGGTTTTATATGAAATTTTAAACTAGCTCGCAAGTCCCTGTCCACTTAAGAGGAGCGGAGATTTTGTGCAATCCTATTGGTTAATATTTCTCCGTTTCTCGGCTCCGCTGCCTCGCTCCGCTCTGGTGGACTGGCAGCCTTACACGTGTAGAAATTCTACACGTGTTAACAAACAAATTACTTAATTACTTGCAAATGTATAGATACGATTAATAATATTGGAAGTGTCTGTATGTAGCAACGAGTTAAAAATATATCTTTCGTACACTAGTGTGAACTATATTTACCTTACTTATAACGATTTTTAAAATGTTTGCCTTTCTGTTCGCAAATAATGAAGTCGCGGGCAACCGCTAGTTTATAGATAAATTTCAAAGTCTTTATAAATACTCAAGTCATTGTGATGATTATTTAAAATATATTAAAGTAATTATCAAATTTTGCAATTAGAAATGAAAAGGCATTTTTTAAAAATTTGTATAACATTTGCTGATGTGTCGATATTTAAATGTAAAAAATAATTTCATTATATGCCACACGTATGATTGTTGCAGAATGATAAAAAAATAAAAATGTTTATCATTCCTAATAAAACATTTTGTTTTGTCACACTTTGTATTAACAGAATTTGCATTATGATTTGATTCTGTACTAGGAAATAATCTGAACTAAATAAATAACTACGGAAGGTTAAATTTAAAAGAACAATACATATTTCTTATTATAAATAACAACACAACACTAACGATATTTTTTAATCGACCAAAAATAAATAAAATCAACGTTAAAATCTAAATAGTTTACA